GAGGCGATGATAGACTAAGACCAAGAGGCTTTACCAGATAGAGGCGATGATAGACTTTAAGACTAAGAGGCTTTAAGAGGCTTAGACTACCAGAGAGAGGCGATGTTAGACTAAGACTAAGAGGCTTTACCAGATAGAGCGATGATAGACTAAGACTAAGAGGCTTTACCAGATAGAGGCGATGATACCAAGATAAAGAGGCTTTACCAGATAGAGGCGATGTTAGACTAAGACTAAGAGTCTTTACCAGATAGAGGCGATGATAGACTAAGACTAAGAGGCTTTACCAGATAGAGGCGATGTTAGACTAAGACTAAGAGACCTGATAGAGGCTAGTTACCAGATAGAGGCGATGATAGACTAAGACTAAGATGCTTTACCAGATAGAGGCGATACCAGATTGTTAGCTAAGACTAAGACTTTACCAGAGAGGCGATGATAGACTAAGACTAAGTGGACAGAGCGATGTTACCAGATAGAGGCGATGTTAGACTAAGACTAAGAGGCTTTACCAGATAGAGCTAGACTAAGACTAAGATGTTAGACTAAGACTAAGAGGCTTTACCAGATAGAGGCGATGTTAGACTAAGACTAAGAGGCTTTACCAAGAGGCGATTTAACTAAGACTAAGAGGCTTTACCAGATAGAGGCGATGTTAGACTAAGACTAAGAGTCTTTTACCAGATAGAGGCGATGTTAGACTAAGACTAAGAGCTTTTACAGATAGAGCCGATGTTAGACTAAGACAAAGAGGCTTTACCAGATAGAGAGGCGATGTTAGACTAAGACTAAGAGGCTTTACCAGATAGAGGCGATGTTAGACTAAGACTAAGAGGCTTTACCAGAGAGAGCCGATGTTAGACTAAGACCAAGAGGCATTTACCAGATAGAGGCGATGATAGACTAAGACTAAGAGACTCTTACCAGATGAGGCCAATGATAGTCCTAGAAGTCTTTACCAAGAGGCGATATTAGACTAAGACTAGACTTCCGGACGTTAGGATGTTAGACTACGAGGCTTTACCAGATAGGAGGCGATGATAGACTAAGACTAAGAGGCCTTTTGCCAGATAGAGGCGATGATAGAACTAAGGCTTTACCAGATGGATGTTTTACCAGACTAGAGAAGCACGATGTTAGACTAAGACTAAGAGTCTCACCAGATAAGAGGCGATGTTAGACTAAGACTTTACCAAGAGGCTTTACCAGAGGCTTTACAGAAGGATGTTAGACCAAGACTAAAGAGTCTTTACCAGAGAGAGGCGATGATGAGACTAAGATTTAAGAGGTCTTTACCAGAGAGAGCCGGGGAACTAAGACTGAGGCTTTACCACCAGAGAGAAGCGATGTTTACCAGACCTGAAGTCTTTACAGATGAAGGATGTTAGACTAAGACTAAGAGGTTTTACCGGAGAGAGAGGCGATATTAGAGCTAAGACTAAGAGGCTTTACCAGAGAGAGGCGATGTTAGACTAAGACCAACTTTTACCAGATAGCGATGATAGACTAGGGAATGGAGGCGATCAGTCTAAGACCAAGAGGCTTTACCAGATAGAGGCGATGTTAGACTAAGACAAGAGTCTTTACCAGATAGAGCCGATGTTAGACTAAAGACTAAGAGGCTTTACCAGATAGAGGCGATGTTAGACCAAGACCAAGAGTCTTTACCAGAGGCGATAGACTAAGATTTAAGGACCAAGAGGCGATGTTAGACTAAGACTAAGAGGCTTTACCAGAGGCGATGTTAGACTAAGACTAAGAGGCTTTACCAATAGAGGCGATGATAGACTAAGACTAAGACTACCAAGAGGCGATGTTAGACTAAGACTAAGAGGCTTTACCAGATAGAGGCGATGATAGTCTAAGACTAAGAGGCTTTACCAGAGAGAGGCGATGTTAGACTAAGACTAAGAGGCTTTACCAGATAGAGGCGATGATAGTCTAAGACTAAGAGGCTTTACCAGATAGAGGCGATGATAGACTAAGACTAAGAGGCTTTACCAGATAGAGGCGATGATAGTCTAAGACTAAGAGGCTTTACCAGATAGAGGCGATGTTAGACTAAGACTAAGAGTCTTTACCAGATAGAGGCGATGTTAGACTAAGACTAAGATGCTTTACCAGAGAGATGATGAACTAAGAGTGGCTTTAGACGATGTTGACTAAGACTAAGAGTCTTTACCAGATAGAGCGATGATGAGCTAGACTAAGACCAGAGAGGCGATGTTGAACCAGACTAAGAGGCTTTACCTGATGATGATGACCAAGACCAAGAGGCTTTACCAGAGAGAGGCGATGTTAGACTAAGACCAAGAGGCTTTTACCAATAGAGGCGATGTTAGACTAGGACTCAAGAGGCTTTACCAGATAGAGCCGATGTTAGACTAAGACTAAGAGGCTTTACCAGATAGAGGCGATGATAGTCTAAGACTAAGAGGCTTTACCAGAGAGAGGCGATGTTAGACTAAGACTAAGAGCTTTACCAGATAGAACCATTGAGCTAAAACTAAGAGGCTTTACCAGATAGAGGCGATGATAGACTAAGACTAAGAGGCTTTACCAGATAGAGGCGATGATAGTCTAAGACTAAGAGGCTTTACCAGAGAGAGGCGATGTTAGACTAAGACTAAGAGTCTTTACCAGATAGAGGCGATGATAGACTAAGACTAAGAGGCTTTACCAGATAGAGGCGATGATAGACTAAGACTAAGAGGCTTTACCAGAGAGAGGCGATGTTAGACTAAGACTAAGAGTCTTTACCAGATAGAGGCGATGATAGACTAAGACCAAGAGGCTTTACCAGAGAGAGAGCGATGTTAGACTAAGTTCAAGAGGCTTTACCAGATAGAGGCGATGATAGACTAAGACTAAGAGGCTTTACCAGAAGAGGCGATGTTAGACTAAGACCAAGAGTCTTTACCAGATAGGAGGCGATATTAGACTAAGACCAAGAGGCTTTACCAGATAGAGCCGATGTTAGACTGTACTTCAAGAGGCATTACCAGATAGAGCCGATGTTAGACTAAGACTAAGAGTCTTTACCAGATAGAAACGATGTTAGACCCCAAAGACTAAGAGGCTTTACCAGATAGAGCCGATGTTGAACTAAAACAAGAGGAATTTTACCAGATAGGGCATGATAGACTAAGACTAAGAGTCTTTACCAGATAGAGCCGATGTTGGACCAAGACTAAGAGAGCTTTACCAGATAGAGGCGATGTTAGACTAAGACTAAGAGGCTTTACAGATAGAGAGCGTCATTAGACTAAGACTAAGAGGCTTTACCAGATAGAAGCGATGTTAGACTAAGACCAAGAGGCTTTACCAGATAGAGGCGATGTTAGACTAAGACTAAGAGGCTTTTTACCAGATAGAGCCGATGTTAGACTAAGTTCAAGAGGCTTTCCAGATAGAGCCGATGTAAGACTAAGACCAAGAGGCTTTTACCAGATAGAGGCGATGTTAGACTAAGACTAAGAGGCTTTTACCAGATGAGGCGATGTTAGACTAAGTCTAGAGGCTTTTTACCAGATAGAGCGATGTTAGACTAAGACTAAGAGGCTTTGCAGATAGAGCCGATGGGGACTAAGACTAAGAGGCTTTACCAGATAGAGGCGATGTTAGACTAAGACCAAGAGGCTTTACCCAGATAGAGCCGATGTTAGACAAAGACTAAGAGTCTTTACCAGATAGAGCCGATGTTAGACTAAGACTAAGACCAGGCTTTACCAGATAGAGGCGATGATGTCTAAGACTAAGAGAGTTCAGATAGAAGGCGATGATAGACTAAGGCCAGATAGAGAGGCGATGATTAGACTAAGACAGATAGAGGCTTTAGACTAAGAGGAGAGTCTTTACCAGATAGAAGGGATGTAAGACTAAGAGGCTTTACCAGATAGGGCGATGATAGCTAAGACTAAGAGTCTTTACCAGAGAGGAGGCGATGTTAGACTAAGCTCCAGTCTTTACCAGAGAGGGCGATGATAGACTAAGACTAAGAGGCTTTACCAGAGAGGCGATGTTGGAGCTAAGACTAAGAGGCTTTCACCAGATAGAGGCGATGTTAGACTAAGACTAAGAGGCTTTACCAGATAGAGGCGATGTTAGACTAAGACTAAGAGGCTTTACCAGATAGAGGCGATGTTAGACTAAGACTAAGAGGCTTTACCAGATAGAGCCGATGTTAGACTAAGACTAAGAGGCTTTAACAGATAGAGGCGATGTTAGACTAAGACTAAGAGTCTTTACCAGATAGAGGCGATGTTAGACTAAGTCTAAGAGGCTTTACCAGATAGAGGCGATGATAGACTAAGACTAAGAGGCTTTACCAGATAGAGCCGATGTTAGACTAAGACTAAGAGGCTTTACCAGATAGAGGCGATGTTAGACTAAGTCTAAGAGGCTTTACCAGATAGAGCCGATGTTCAGTCTAAGATAGAGGCTTTTACCAGATAGAGCCGATGTTAGACTAAGACCTAAGAGGCTTTACCAGATAGAGGAGGCGATGATAGTTAAGACTAAGAGGCTTTACCGATAGAGGCGATGATAGACTAAGACTAAGAGGCTTCACCAGATAGAGGCGATGATAGACTAAGACTAAGAGGCTTTACCAGATAGAGCCGATGTTAGACTAAGACTAAGAGTCTTTACCAGATAGAGGTGATGTTAGACTAAGAGGCTTTACCAGATAGAGGCGATGATAGACTAAGACTAAGAGGCTTTACCAGAGAGAGGCGATGTTAGACTAAGACTAAGAGTCTTTACCAGATAGAGGCGATGATAGACTAAGACTAAGAGGCTTTACCAGAGAGAGGCGATGTTAGACTAAGACTAAGAGGCTTTACCAGATAGAGGCGATGATAGACTAAGACTAAGTGGCTTTTCCAGATAGAGGCGATGATAGACTAAGAATAAGAGGTTTTTACCATATAGAGGTGATGACTAAGACTAAAGAGGCTTTACCGGATAGAGCCGATGTTAGACTAAACTAAGAGTCTTACCAGATAGAGGCGATGTTTAAGACTAAGAGCTTTTTACCAGATAGAGGCGATGATAGATAGACTATAGACTAAGATCAAGATTTACCAGATAGAGGCGATGTTAGACTAAGACTAAGAGGCTTTACCCAGATAGACGATGTTAGACTAAGACTAAGAGGCTTTACCAGATAGAGGCGATGATAGACTAAGACTAAGTGGCTTACCAGATAGAGGCGATGTTACACTAAGAGGCTTTACCAGAGAGATGCGATGTTAGACTAAGACTAAGAGTCTTTACCAGATAGAGGCGTTGTTAGACTAAGACTAAGAGTCTTTACCAGATAGAGGCGGCGTTGTTAGACTAAGCTTTTACCAGAAGAGGCGATGTTTAAGAGGCCAGATAGAGGCGATGATAGACTAAGACAAGAGGCTTTACCAGATAGAGGCGATGTTAGACTAAGACTAAGAGTCTTTACCAGATAGAGGCGATGAGGACTAAGACCAAGAGGCTTTACCAGAGAGAGGCGATGTTAGACTAAGACTAAGAGGCTTTTACCAGATAGAGGCGATGACAGACTAAGACCAAGAGGCCTTTACCAGTATAAAGACATGCTAGACTAAGACTAAGAGGCTTACCAGATAGAGGCGATGTTAGACTAAGACTAAGGCTTTACCAGATAGAGGCGATGATAGACTAAGACTAAGAGGCTTTACCAGATAGAGGCGATGATAGACTAAGACTAAAGGCTTTACCAGATAGAGGCGATGTTAGACTAAGACTAAGAGGCTTTGCAGAGAGGCGATGATGTTAGACTAAGACTAGAGGCTTTGACAGATAGAGTCTTTACCAGATGAGTTAGACTAAGACTAAGAGGCTTTACCAGATAGAGGCGATGATAGACTAAGACTAAGAGGCTTTTACCAGATAGAGGCGATGATAGACTAAGACTAAGAGTCTTTACCAGATGAGGCGATGATAGACTAAGACTAAGAGGCTTTACCAGAGAGCTTTTAGACTAAGACAAGAGGCTTTTACCAGATAGATGCGATGATAGACTAAGACTAAGAGGCTTTACCAGATAGAGGCGATGTTAGACTAAAGACCAAGAGGCGATGTTTTACCAGATAGAGGCTAGACTAGACTAAGAGGCTTTACCAGAGAGGCAGACTAAGACTAAGAGGCTTTACCAGATAGGGCGATGTTAGACTAAGACTAAGAGTCTTCTTTACCAGATAGAGGCGATGTTGACTAAGACTAAGACAGATAGAGGCGATGTTAGACTAAGAGGCTTTACTCAGATAGAGGCGGATGATAATTGCAGTGACTAAGAGTAGCCTTTACCAGAGAGGCGATGACTAAGACTAAGAGGCTTTACCAGATAGAGGCGATGATAGTTAAGACTAAGAGGATTTACCACTAGATAGAGGCGATGTTAGAGCAAGACTAAGAGGCTTACCAGATAGAGAGGCGATGTGAGACTAAGACTAAGAGGCTTTACCAGATGAGGCGGATGATAGACTAAGACCAAGAGGCTTTACCAGAGAGAGGCGATGTTGAGCTGAAGACCAAGAGTCTTCACCAGAGAAAGGCGATGATAGACTAAGACCAAGTTACCAGGGCTTTGAGACTAAGAGTCTTTAGGCGATGTTAGACTCAAGACTAAGAGGCTTTACCAGACAGAGGCGATGATATGACTAAGACTAAGAGCTTTTACCAGAGAGATGATGTTAGACTAGACTAAAGCTTTACCAGAGAGAGGCGATGATAGACTAAGACTAAGAGGCTTTACCAGAGAGGCGATGTTAACTAAGACTAAGGCTTTTTACACAGATAGAGGCGATGATAGTCTAAGAGGCTTTACCAGAGAGAGGCGATGTTAGACTAAGACTAAGAGGCTTTACCAGATAGAGGCGATGTTAGACTAAGACTAAGAGTCTTACCAGATAGAGGCGATGATAGACTAAGACTAAGAGGCTTTACCAGATAGGCGATGTTAGACTAAGACTAAGAGGCTTTACCAGATAGAGGCGATGATAGACTGACTAACTTTACCAGATAGAGGCGATGATAGACCTAAGAGATAGAGGCGATGTCTTTACCAGATAGACTAAGACTAAGAGGCTTTACCAGATAGAGGCGATGATAGTCTAAGACTAAGACTACCAGATAGGCGATGTTGAACTAAGACTAAAGAGTCTTTACCAGATAGAGGCGATGATAGACTAAGACTAAGAGGCTTTACCAGATAGAGGCGATGATAGACTAAGACTAAGAGTCTCACCAGATAGAGGCGATGATAGACTAAGACTAAGAGGCTTTACCAGAGAGAGGCGATGTTACTAAGACTAAGAGGCTTTACCAGATAGGGGCGATGATAGACTAAGACTAAAAGAGTCTTACCAGATAGAGGCGGATGTTAGATCAAGACCAAGAGGCTTTACCAGATAGAGCGATGATAGACTAAGACTAAGAGGCTTTTACCAGAGAGGCGATGTTAGACTAAGACTAAGAGTCTTTACCAGAGAAAGGATGAGACCAAGACTCAAGAGGCTTTACCCAGAGAGGCGCGATGTTAGACTAAGAGGCTTCTTTTACCAGATAGGAGCCGATGATTAGACAAGTCTACCAGACCATGTTAGGATAAGACCAAGAGGCTTTACCAGATAGAGTGATGATACTAAGACTAAAGAGGCTTTACTCAGATAGAGGCGATGTTAGATCAAGACTAAGAGGCTTTACCAGATAGAGGCGATGTTAGTTCAAGACTAGAGGCTTTTACCAGACAGAACCGATGTTAGACTAAGACTAAGAGGCTTTACCAGATAGAGGCGAGATAGTTCAAGACCAAGAGTCTTTACCAGATAGGGGCGATGTTAGACTAAAGACTAAGAGTCTTTACCAGATAGAGGCGATGATAGATCAAGACTGAGGCTTTACCAGAGAGAGGCGATGACAAAGACTAAGACTGAGGCTTTACCAGAGAGAGGCGATGATAGTCTAAGACTAAGAGTCTTACCAGATAGAGGCGATGGTTAGACTAAGACTAAGAGGCTTTACCAGATAGAGGCGATGATAGTCTAAGACTAAAGAGGCTTTACCAGATGAGGCGATGTTAGACTAAGACCAAGAGTCTTACCAGATAGAGGCGATGTTAGACTAAGACTAAGAGGCTTTTACCAGATAGAGGCGATGTTAGACTAAGACTAAGAGGCTTTACCAGAGAGAGGCGATGTTAGACTAAGACTAAGAGGCTACACCAGAAAGGCGATGTTAGACTAAGACTAAGAGGCTTTACCAGATAGAGGCGATGTTAGACTAGACTAAGACTGCCAGAGAGAGCGATGATAGACTAAGACTAAGAGCTTTACCAGATAGAGGCGATGATAGACTAAAGACTAAGAGGCTTTACAGAGAGAGCGATGATAGACTAAGACTAAGAGGCTTTACCAGATAGAGGCGATGTTAGACTAAGACTAAGAGTCTTTACCAGATAGAGGCGATGATAGTCTAAGACTAAGAGGCAGCTTTACCAGATGAGGCGATGATAGACTAAGACTAGAGTCTTTACCAGAGAGGCGATGATAGTCCAAGACTAAGAGGCTTTACCAGAGAGAGGCGATGATAGACTAAGACTAAGAGTCTTTACCAGATAGAGGCGATGTTAGACTAAGACTAAGGGCTTTTACCAGATAGAGGCGATGATAGACTAAGACTAAGAGGCTTTACCAGAGAGAGGCGATGTTAGACTAAGACTAAGAGTCTTTGCAGATAGAGAAGGACGATAGACTAAGACCAAGAGGCTTTACGAGATAGAGGCGATGATAGTCTAAGACTAAGAGGCTTCACCAGATAGAGGCGATGTTAGACTAAGACCAAGAGGCTTTACCAGATAGAGGCGATGATAGACTAAGACTAAGAGGCTTTACCAGAGAGAGGCGATGTTAGACTAAGACTAGAGGTCTTTACCAGAGAGAGGCGATGATAGACTAAGACTAAGAGGCTTTACCAGAGAGAGGCGATGATAGACTAAGACTAAGAGGCTTTACCAGAGAGATGCGATGTAAGATAAGACTAAGAGTCTTTACCAGATAGAGGCGATGATAACTAAGACCAAGAGGTTTTACCAGAGAGGCGATGTTAGACTAAGACTAAGAGGCTTTTTACCAGATAGAGGCGATGATAGACTAAAGACCAAGAGTCTTTACCAGAGAGAGGCGATGTTAGACTAAGACTAGGGAAGAGCGATGTTAGACTAAGACCAGAGAGAGGCGATGTTAGACTAAGACTAAGAGGCTTTACCAGATAGAGGCGATGATAGACTAAGACTAAGAGGCTTTACCAGAGAGGCGATGTTAGACTAAGACTAAGAGGCTTTACCAGATAGAGGCGATGATAGACTAAAGACAAGAGGCTTTACCAGAGAGAGGCGATGTTAGACTAAGAGAGGCTTTACCAGATAGAGGCGATGATAGACTAAGACTAAGAGGCTTTACCAGATAGAGGCGGGGGATGATAGTCCAAGACTAAGAGGCTTTACCAGATAGAGGCGATGATAGACTAAGACTAAAGAGGCTTTACCAGATAGAGGCGATGATAGACTAAGACTAAGAGGCTTTTACCAGATAGAGGCGATGTTACTAAGACTAAGAGGCTGAAGAGGCGATGTTAGACTAAGACTAAGAGGCTTTACCAGAGGCGATGTTAGACTAAGACTAAGAGGCTTTACCAGATAGAGGCGATGTTAGACTAAGACTAAGAGTCTTTACCAGAGAGGCGATGTTAGACTAAGACTAAGAGGCTTTACCAGAGAGAGGCGATGATAGACTAAGACTAAGAGGCTTTACCAGATAGAGGCGATGTTAGACTAAGACTAAGAGGCTTTACCAGATAGAGGCGATGTTAGACTAAGACTAAGAGGCTTTACCAGAGAGGCGACCAGATAGACTAAGACCAAGAGGCTTTACCAGACAGAGGCGATGTTAGACTAAGACAAGAGGCTTTACAGATAGAGGCGATGATAGACTAAGACTAAGAGTCTTTACCAGATAGAGGCGATGATAGACTGAAGAGCTCACCAGAGAGAGGCGATGATAGACTAAGACTAAGAGGCTTTACCAGAGAGAGGCGATGTTAGACTAAGACTAAGAGTCTTTACCAGATAGAGGCGATGATAGACTAAGACTAAGAGGCTTTACCAGATAGAGGCGATAGACTAAGACTAAGAGCTTTTACCAGAGAAGAGGCGATTTAGACTAAGACAGATAGATAGGCGATGATAGACTAAGACTAAAAGAGTCTTTACCAGAGAGAGGCGATGATGATAGACTTTACCAGAGAGAGGCAAGGACAAGACCAAGACCAAAGAGGCTTTACCAGAGAGAGGCGATGTTAGACTAAGACCAAGAGGCTTTACCAGATAGAGGCGATGTTGACTAGACTAAGAGAACTAACCAAGAGTCCTAAGACCAAGAGGCTTACCAGAGAGAGGCGATGTTAGACTAAGACTAAGAGGCTTTACCAGATAGAAGGCGATGATAGACTAAGACTAAGAGGCTTTACCAGATAGAGGCGATGATAGACTAAGACTAAGAGGCTTTACCAGATAGAGGCGATGATAGACTAAGACTAAGAGGCTTTACCAGATAGAGGCGATGTTAGACTAAGACTAGAGTCTTTACCAGATAGCCGATGTTAGCGATAAGATGCTTTGCAGATGAGGCTAAGACTAAAGAGGCTTTACCAGATAGAGGCGATGATAGACTAAGACAAGAGGCTTTACCAGAGAGAGAGGCGATGATAGACTAAGACTAAGAGGCTTTACCAGATAGAGGCGATGATAGACTAAGACTAAGAGGCTTTACCAGAGAGAGGCGATGTTAGACTAAGACTAAGAGTCTTTACCAGATAGAGGCGATGATAGACTAAGACTAAGAGGCTTTACCAGAGAGGTCTTTACCAGATGTTAGACTAAGACTAAGAGGCTTTACCAGATAGAGGCGATGATGATAAGACTAAGACTTTACCAGAAGAGGCGATTTACCAGAGTCTTTAGAGGCGATGATAGACTAAGACTAAGAGGCTTTACCAGATAGAGGCGATGTCGATGATAGACTAAGACTAAGAGGCTTTACCAGATAGAGGCGATGTTAGACTAAGACTAAGGCTTTTTACCAGATAGAGGCGATGTTAGACTAAGACTAAGAGGCTTTACCAGAGAGAGGCGATGTTAGACTAAGACAAGAGAGGCTTTACCAGATAGAGGCGATGATAGACTAAGACTAAGAGGCTTTACCAGATAGAGGCGATGATAGACTAAGACTAAGAGGCTTTACCAGATAGAGAGGCGATGTTAGACTAAGACTAAGAGTCTTTACCAGATAGAGGCGATGATAGACTAAGACTAAGAAGCAGATTTACCAGAGAGAAGGCGATGTTAGACTAAGACTAAGAGTCTTTACCAGATAGAGGCGATGATAGACTAAGACTAAGAGGGCTTTACCAGATAGAGGCGATGATAGTCTAAGACTAAGGCTTTTACCAGATAGAGGCGATGTTAGACTAAGACTAAAGAGGCTTTACCAGATAGAGCCGATGTTAGACTAAGACTAGAGGCTTTAGACTAAGACTAAGAGTCTTTACCAGAGAGAGGCGATGATAGACTAAAGACTAAGAGGCTTTACCAGAGAGAGGCGATGTTAGACTAAGACTAAGAGGCTTTACCAGATAGAAGGCGATGATAGACTAAGACTAAGAGGCTTTACCAGATAGAGGCGATGTTAGACTAAGACTAAAGAGGCTTTACCAGATAGAGGCGATGATAGACCAAGACTAAGAGGCTTTACCAGATAGAAGCGTCAATAGACTGTTTTGATGACTAAGACTAAAAGGCTTTACCAGATAGAGGCGATGAGCCCAGACTAAGAACTTTACAGATAGAGGGCGATGACTAAGACTAAGAGGCTTTACCGAATGAGGCGATGTTAGACTAAGACTAAGTCTTTACCAGCCGATGTTGAACTAAAGACTAAGAAACTTTCAGATAGAGGCGATAAGACTAAGACAAGGTCTTTACCAGATAGAGGCGATGTTAGACTAAGACTAAGGTCTTTACCAGATAGAGCGATGATAGACTAAGACTAAGATGCTTTACCAGATAGGGGCAGAGACTTTACCAGATAGAGGCGATAGACTAAGACTAGAGATCGATGAAGACTAGAGGCTTTACCAAGATAGAGGCGATGTTAGACTAAGACTAAGAGTCTTTACCAGATAGAAGCGATGTTAGACTAAGACAAGAGGCTTTACCAGATAGAGCCGATGTTGAGACTAAGACCTTTACCAGAAAGGCGATGATAGACTAAGACTAAGACTAAGAGGCGATTTGACTAAGACTAAGAGAGCTTTGCAGATAGAGGCGATGATAGACTAAGACTAAAGAGGCTTTACCAGAGAGAGGCAATATGACTAAGACTAAAAAAAAAGACTAAGGGCTTTACCAAGATAGAGGCGATGATGGAGCTAAGACTAAGAGGCTTTGCACCAGGGGCGATGTTAGACTAAGACTAGAGTCTTTACCAGATAGAGGCGATGATAGACTAAGACTAGTCTTACCAGGCGGATGTTAGACTAGACTAAGAGGCTGCTAGATAGTTAGACTGCGATACTCAGATAGAGGCTAAGACTAAGAGGCTTTACCAGAGAGAGCCGATGAGACTCAAGACTAAGAGGCTTTACCAGATAGAGCGATGTTAGACTAAGACTAAGGGCTTTACCAGATAGAGGCGATGATAGACTAAGACTAAGAGGCTTTACGAGATAGAGGCGATGTTAGGCTTTACCAGAGAGGCTAAGACTAAGAGGCTTTGCAGATGAGAGGCGATGCCTTTTAGACTAAGACTAGAGGCTTTACCAGATAGAGGCGATGATAGACTAAGACTAAGAGGATTTCACTAGATAGAGGCGATGTTAGACTAAGACTAAGAGTCTTTACCAGAGGCGATGATAGACTAGACTAAGAGGCTTTACCAGAGAGAAGGCGATGATAGACTAAGACCAAGAGCTTTACCAGAGAGAGGCGATGTTAAGACCAAGACTTTACCAAGAGGCGATTTGAACAAGACTAAGACAGAGGCGATGATAGACTAAGACTAAGAGGCTTTACCAGATAGAGGCGATGTTAGACTAAGACAGAGAAGATGGACTAAGACCAAGAGGCTTTACCAGATAGAGGCGATGATAGACTAAGACTAAGAGGCTTTACCAGAGAGGCGATAAGACTAAGAAGACTAGATAAGGCGATGATAGACTTTACCAGAGAGGCGATGATAGACTAAGACTAAGAGGTTTTACCAGATAGAGAGGCGATGATTAGACTAAGACCAGAAGAGTCTTTACCAGATAGAGGCGATGTTAGACTAAGACTAAGCTTTACCAGATAGAGGCGATGATAGTCTAAGACTAAGAGGCTTTACCAGATAGAGGCGATGTTAGACTAAGACTAAGAGTCTTTACCAGATAGAGGCGATGATAGACTAAGACTAAGAGGCTTTACCAGATAGAGGCGATGTTAGACTAAGACTAAGAGTCTTTACCAGATAGAGGCGATGTTAGACTAAGACCAAGACTAAGACTAAGAGGCTTTACCAGATAGAGGCGATGATGACTAAGACTAAGAGGCTTTACCAGAGAGAGCGATGTTAGACTAAGACCAAGAGGCTTTACCAGATAGAGCGATGATAGACCAAGACCAAGAGGCTTTACCAGATAGAGGGCGAGATAGACCAAGACTAAGAGGCTTTACCAGATAGAGGCGATGTTAGACTAAAGACTAAGAGGCTTTACCAGATAGAGGCGATGATAGACTAAGACCAAGAGGCTTTACCAGATAGAGGCGATGATAGACTAAAGACTAAGAGGCTTTACCAGATAGAGGCGATGATAGACTAAGACTAAGAGGCTTTACCAGAGAGGCGATGTTAGACTAAGACCAAGAGCTTTTACCAGAGAGAGGCGATGGATAGACTAAGACCAAGAGGCTTTACCCAGATAGAGGCGATGTTAGACTAAGACTAAGAGTCTTTACTGGATGATAGACTAAGATAAAGAGGCTACCAGGCGATGATAAGACTAAGAGGCTAAGAGATGTTAGACTAAGACCAAGAGGCTTTACCAGATAGAGGCGATGTTAGACTAAGACTAAGAGGCTTTACCAGATAGAGGCGATGTTTAGACTAAGACTTTAAGATAGAGGCGATGATTTCAAGACTAAGAGAGAGGCGATGTTAGACTAAGACCAAGAGGCTTTACCAGATAGAGGCGATATGACCAAGAGGCTTTACCAGATAGACTAAATGAGTCTAAGATCAAGAGTCTTTACCAGATAGAGGCGATGATAGACTTCAAGACTAAGAGGCTTTACCAGATAGAGGCGATGTTAGATCAAGAGATTAAGAGGACTAAGAGTTTACCAGATAGAGGCGATGATAGACCAAGACTCAAGAGTCTTTACCAGATAGAGGCGATGATAGACTAAGACCAAAGAGGCTTTACCAGAGAGAAAGCGATGTTAGACTAAGACCAAGAGGCTTTACCAGATAGAGGCGATGATAGACTAAGACTAAGAGGCTTTACCAGAGAGAGGCGATGTTAGACTAAGACTAAGAGGCTTTTACCAGATAGAGGCGATGATAGTCTAAGACTAAGAGGCTTACCAGAGAGGCGATGTTAGACTAAGACTAAGAGGCTTTACCAGATAGAGGCGATGTATAGTCTAAGACCAAGAGGCTTTACCAGATAGAGGCGATGTTAGACTAAGACTAAGAGTCTTTACCAGATAGAGGCGATGATAGACTAAGACTAAGAGGCTTTACCAGATAGAGCGATATGACTAAGACTAAGAGGTTTTACCAGATAGAGGCGATGATAGACTAAGACTAAGAGTCTTTACAGAGAGAGGCGATGATAGACCAAGACTAAGAGGCTTTACCAGATAGAGGCGATGATAGATAAGACCAAGAGCGATGATAGACCAAGACTAAGAGGCTTTTTTACCAGATAGAGGCGATACCAGAGAGTTAGACTAAGACTAAGAGGCTTTACCAGATAGAGGCGATGTTAGACTAAGACCAAGAGTCTTTACCAGAGAGAAGGATGTTAGACTAAGACCAAGAGGCTTTACCAGAGAGAGGCGATGATAGACTAAGACTAAGAGGCTTTACCAGAGAGAGGCGATGTTAGACTAAGACCAAGAGGCTTTACCAGATAGAGGCGATGATAGACTAAGACCAAGAGGCTTTACCAGAGAAGGATGTTAGACTAAAGAGGGCTTTACCAGAGAGAGGCGATGATAGACAAGATCAAGAGTCTTTACCAGAGAGAGGCGATAGATCAAGACCAAGAGGCTTTACCAGAGAGAGAAGGAGGATAGACTAAGACTAAGAGTCTTTACCAGAGAGGCGATGATAGACTAAGACTAAGAGGCTTTACCAGAGAGAGGCGATGATAGATCAAGACTAAGACTAGAGAGGCTTTCGAAGGAGGAAGACCAAGAGGTTTTACCAGAGAGCGATGATGACTAAGACTAAGACTAAGAGGCTAAGAGGCTTTACCAGATAGGAGGCGATGTAGACCATGACCAAGAGTCACCAGATAGAAGGATGATAGACCAAGACTAAGAGGCTTTTACCAGATAGAGGCGATGATTAAGACTAAGACCAAGAGGCGATGATTTCAAGACCAGATATGAGGCGATGTTAGACTAAGACTAAGAGTCTTTACCAGATAGAGCTGGGATGTTAGACTAAGACCAAGAGGCTTTACCAGATAGAGCCGATGATAGACTAAGACTCAAGAGGCTTTAAATTTCAGAGAGAGGCGATGTTAGACTAAGACTAAGAGGTTTTACCAGAGAGAGCTGATGTTAGACCAAGAAGAGTTTTACCGATGATAGGACGTTAGAGACTAAGAGGCTTTTACCAGATAGAGGCGATAGACTAAGACCAAGAGGCTTTTTACCAGATAGAGGCGATGTTAGACTAAGACTAAAGAGGCTTCACCAGATAGAGGCGATGTTAGACTAAGACCAAGAGGCTTTACCAGATAGAGACGATGTTAGACTAAGACCAAGAGGCTTTACCAGATAGAAGGATGTTAGACTAAGACTAAGAGTCTTTACCAGATAGAGGCGATGATAGACTAAGACCAAGAGGCTTTACCAGATAGAGGCGATGATAGACTAAGACTAAGAGGCTTTACCAGATAGAGATGATATGTTAAGACCAGGAGAGAGGGATGCTAGATAAGACCAAGAGGCTTTACAGGATAGAGAAGGCGATGATAATTCCTAAAGACTAAGAGGATTTTACCCAGAGAGAGGCGATGTTAGACTAAGACTAAGAGTCTTTACCAGATAGAGGCGATGATAGACTAAGACTAAGAGGCTTACCCAGATAGAGGCGATGATAGACAAAGACCAAGAGGATGTTAGACCAGATAGAGAAGGATGATTTCAAGACCAAGAGGCTTTACCAGAGAGAGGCGATGTTAGACTAAGACTAAGAGGCTTTACTCAGATAGAGGCGATGATATTCAAGACCAAGAGGCTTCACCAGAGAGAGGGATGTTAGACTAAGACTAAGAGTCTTTACCAGATAGAGCGATGATAGACTAAGACTAAGAGGCTTTACTCAGATAGGAGGCGATGATAGTCTAAGACCAAGAGGCTTTTACCAGATAGGAGGCGATGTGCTAGACTAAGACTCAAGAGTCTTTACCTGATAGAGCCGGGGATGTTAGACTGGAAGACTAAGAGGCTTCACTTAAGAGAGGTGATGTTGACTAAGACCAAGAGTCTTACCATAGAGAGAAAGGATGATAGACTAAGACTAAGCAGGCTTCACTAGAGAGAGGCGATGTTAGACTAAGACCAAGAGGCTTACCAGATAGAGAGGCGATGATAGACTAAGACTAAGAGTCTTTACCAGAGAGAGCCGATGTTAGACTAAGACCAAGAGGCTATACTAGATCGATCAAGACTAAGAGGCTTTACCAGATAGAGAGGCGATGTTAGATCAAGACAAAGAGGCTTTACCAGAGAGAGCCGATATGACTAAGACCAAGAGGCTTTACCAGATAGGAGATGCTAGACTAAGAGAGTCTTACCAGATAGAGGCGATGATAGACCAAGACTAAGAGTTTTACCAGATAGAGGCGATGATAGACTAAGACTGAGGCTTTAACAGAGAGACTAAGACTAAGACTAAGAGGCTTTACCAGATAGGCAAGGATGATAGTCTAAGACTAAGAGGCTTTACCAGAGAGAAAAGGACAAAGGACCAAGACAAGAGGCTTACCAGATAGAGCGATGATAGACCAAGACTAAGAGGATTTACCAGAGAGGAGGCGGATGTTGACCAAGACCAAGAGGCCTTTACCAGATAGAGGCATGATGATAGACCAAGACCAAGAGGTCTTACCAGAGAGAGGCGATGATAGACCAAGACCAAGAGGCTTCGCACTAGAGAGAGGCGATGATAGACTAAGACCAAGAGGCAAACCAGAGAGAGGCGATGTTAGACTAAGACCAAGAGGCTTTACCAGATAGAGGCGATGATAGACCAAGACCAAGAGGCTTTACTAGAGAGAGACTAAGACAAGAGGTTTTACCCAGATAGAGGCGATGATAGTTCAAGACTAAGAGGCTTCTACCAGAGAGAGGCGATAGATAGACTCAAGAACTAACAGAAGAGGCGATGATTTAAGACCAAGAGGCTTTACCAGAGGCGATGTTAGACTACACCAAGAGGCATTTTAACAGATAGAGGGGATGATAGCTAAGACCAAGAGTCTTTACCAGAGAGAGGCGATAGACTAAGACTAAGAGACCAAGAGGCTTTACCAAGAGAGAGGCGATGATAGACTAAGACCAAGAGGCTTTTTACCAGAGAGATAGAGGATGATAGACTAAGACCAAGAGGCTTTTTACCAGATAGAGGCGATGATGTTCAAGACTAAGGACCAAGAGGACCAAGACCAGACCAGATAGAGCCGATGTTAGACTAAGACCAAGAGCTTTTACCAGAGAGAGGCGATGACAGACCAAGACAAGAGTCTTTACCAGAGAGAGGCGATGATAGACTAAGACTAAGAGGCTTTACCAGATAGAGGGCGATGTTAGACTAAGACCAAGAGTCTTTACCAGATAGAGGCGATGATAGACTAAGATTAAGAGGCTTTTACCAGATAGAGGCGATGATAGACTAAGACTAAGAGGCTTTACTCAGAGAGAGGCGATGATAGTTCAAGACAAGAGGACCAAGAGGCGATGTTACCAGAGAGACCAGCGATGTTAGACTCAAGACTAAGAGGCTTCACCAGATAGAGGCGATGATAGACTAAGACTAAGAGGCAGCTTTTACCAGAGAGAGAGGATGATGTTCAAGACTGAGACTAAGAGTCTTTAGACCAGATAGATGCGATGAGGAGCGTTAGAGACTAAGAGGCTTTTACCAGATAGAGGCGATGATAGACCAAGACTAAGAGGCTTTTTATTAGATAGAGGCGATGTTAGACCAAGACTAAGAGGCCTACTCAGAGGAGGCGATGATAGTCTGAAGACCAAGAGGCTTTACCTAGAGAGAGGCGATGTTAAGAGGCTTTACCAGACCAAGGATGAGCCCTTACCAGAGAGGCGATGATAGACTAAGACCAAGAGGCTTTTACCAGATAGAGGGGCGATGTTAAGACTAAGACAGAAGAGGCTTTACCCAGATAGACCAAGGCGATGATAGACTAAGACCAAGAGCTTTACCAGAGAGAGGCGATGTTAGACTAAAGACTAAGAGCAGTTTTACCCAGAGAGAGGATGATAGACTAAGATTAAGAGGCTTTACTCAGATAGAGGCGATGTTAGATCAAGACTAAGAGGTTTTACCAGATAGAGCGATGATAGTTAAGACCAAGAGTCTTTACCAGATAGCTTCGGATGTTAGACTAAGACTAAGAGGTACCAGATAGAGCCGATGCTAGATCAAGACCAAGAGGCTTTACCAAAGAGAGGCGATGTTTAAGACTATGAGGCTTCAACAGATAGAGCCGAGTCTACCAAGAGGCTTTAGAGAGAGAGCGATGATAGACTAAGACCAAGAGTCTTTACCAGAGAGAGGCGATGTTAGACCAAGACCAAGAGGTTTTACCAGATAGAGGATGATAGACTAAGACCTGGAGGGCCACCCAGAGAGAGGCGATAGACTAAGACCAAAAGAGGCTTTACCAGATAGAGGCGATGATAGACTAAGACCAAGAGGCTTTACCAGAGAGAGGCGATGTTAGACTCAAGACTAAGAGGCTTTTACCAGATAGAGGCGATGATAGTCTAAGACCAAGAGGATTTACCAGATAGAGGCGATGTTAGACTAAGACCAAGAGTCTTTACCAGAGAGAGGGATGTTAGACTAAGACCAAGAGGCTTTTACCAGATAGAGGCGATGATAGACTAAGACCAAGAGGCAGAGAAGGATTTACTAAGACTAAGATAGAGAAAAGGATGATATTCAAGACCTAAGAGGCTTTACCAGAGAGAGGCGATGTTAGACTAAGACCAAGAGTCTTTTACCAGATAGAGGCGATGATAGACTAAGACTAAGAGGCTTTACCAGAGAGAGGCGATGATAGATCAAGACCAAGAGGCTTACCAGAGAGAGGCGATGTTAGTCTAAGACCAAGAGGCTTTACCAGAGAGAGGCGATGATAGACTAAGACTAAGAGGCGATGATAGTCTACCAAGAGATTCAGATAGAGGCGATGATAGACTAAGACCAAGAGGTTTTTACCAGATAGAGGCGATGATTCAAGACTAAGAGGCTTTACCAGAGAGAGGGTTAGACTAAGACTAAGAGTCTTTTGATAGACGATGATAGACCAAGACTCAAGAGTTTTACCAGAGAGGCGATGATTAGACTAAGACTAAGAGTCTTTACCAGAGAGAGGGGCGATGATAGACTAAGACTAAAGAGGCTTTACCAGATAGAGGCGATGATAGACTAAGACCAAGAGGCTTTACCAGAGAGAGGGCGATGTTAGGACTAAGACTAAGAGGTTTTACCAGATAGGTTGATGTTAGACTAAGACTAAGAGTCTTACCAGAGAGAGGCAGATGATAGACCAAGACTAAGAGGTTTTACCAGAGAGAGGACCAAGAGGCTTTACCAGTTAGACTAAGACCAAGAGGCTTTACCAGATAGAGGCGATGATAGATCAAGACTAAGAGTCTTTACCAGGAGAGAGGCGATGATAGACTAAGACTAAAGTTTTACCAGATAGAGGCGATGATAGACTAAGACTAAGAGGCTTCACCAGAGAGAGGCGATGTTAGACTAAGACCAAGCCTTACCAGAGAGAGGAAGATAAGACCAATAGACTAAGACTAAGAGGCTTTTACCAGAGAGAGGCGATGTTAGACTAAGACTAAGAGGCTTTACCAGATAGAGAAGGATGATAGACTAAGACTAAGAGACTTTACCAGAGAGAGGCGATGATAGACTAAGACCAAGAGGCTTTACCAGATAGAGGCGATGATAGTTCAAGACCAAGAGGCTTTACCAGATAGAGGCGATGTTAGACCAAGACTAAGAGTCTTTAATGATAGAGGCGATGATAGACTAAGACCAAGAGGCTTTACCAGAGAGAGGCGATGTTAGACCAAGACCAAGAGTCTTTACCAGATAGAGGCGATGATAGACTCAAAAGACTTCACCAGAGAGAGGCTGTTAGACCAGATCAAGAGTCTAACAAAGATAGGATGTTAGACTTAAGACTAAGAGGCTTTTACCAGATAGAGGCGATGATAGACTAAGACTAAGAGGATTACCAGAAGAGGCGATTTAGAACAAGACAGATAGAGAGAGGCGATGATAGACTAAGACTAAGAGGCTTTACCAGATAGAGGATGATAGTCTAAGACTAAGAGGCTTTACCAGAGAGAGGCGATGTTAGACTAAGACTAAGAGTCTTTACCAGATAGAGGCTGATGTTAGACTAAGACTAAGAGGCTTTACCAAAGAGGGGCGAGATAGACTCAAGACCAAGATACCAGAGAGGCGATGTCCAAGACTAAGAGGCTTTACCAGAGAGAGGCGATGTTAGACTAAGACCAAGAGATCCTTTACCAGATAGAGGCGATGATAGACTAAGACTAAGAGGCTTTACCAGATAGAGGCGATGATAGTCTAAGACCAAGAGGCTTACCCAGATGTAGAACTAAGACTAAGATGTTAGAGGCGATATGAACAAGACTAAGAGTCTTTACCAGATAGAGCCGATGATAGACCAAGACCAAGAGGCTTTTACCAGAGAGAGGCGATGATAGACTAAGACCAAGAGTCTTTTACCAGATAGAGGCGATGATAGACTAAGACTAAGAGGCTTTTACCAGAGAGAGGCGATGATAGTCTAAGACCAAGAGGCTTTACCAGAGAGAGGCGATGTTAGACTAAGACTAAGAGTTTTTACCAGATAGAGGCGATGTTAGACTAAGACAAGAGGTTTTTTACCAGAGAGAGGCGATGATAGACTAAGACTAAGAGGCTTTACCAGATAGAGGCGATGATAGTCAAGACTAAGAGGCTTTACCAGAGAGAGGCGATGATAGACTAAGACCAAGAGGCTTTACCAGATAGAGGCGATGATAGACTAAGACTAAGAGGCTTTACCAGATAGAGGCGATGTTAGACTAAGACTAAGAGGCTTTACCAGATAGAGGCGATGATAGACTAAGACCAAGAGGCTTTAGAGAGAGAGACCAAGAGGTTTACCAGATAGAGGCGATGATAGACTAAGACTAAGATACCAGATAGACTATAGACTAAGACTAAGAGGCTTTACCAGAGAGAGGCGATGTTAGACTAAGACTAAGAGGCTTTACCAGAGAGGCGATGATAGACTAAAGACTAAGAGGCTTTACCAGAGAGAGGCGATGTTAGACTAAGACTAAGAGGCTTTACCAGATAGAGGCGATGATAGACTAAGACTAAGAGTCTTTACCAGAGAGAGGCGATGATAGACTAAGACTAAGAGGCTTTACCAGAGAGAGGCGATGTTAGACTTAGACTAAGAGGCTACCAGATAGAGGCGGATGTTAGACTAAGACTAAGAGTCTTTACCAGAGAGAGGCGATGTTAGACTAAGACTAAGAGTCTTTACCAGAGAGAGGCGATGATAGACTAAGACTAAGAGGCTTTACCAGATAGAGGCGATGATAGACTAAGACTAAGAGTCTTTACCAGATAGAGGCGATGATAGACTAAGACTAAGAGGCTTTACCAGAGAGAGGCGATGTTAATTCAAGACCAAGAGGCTTTACCAGATAGAGGCGATGATAGACTAAGACCAAAGAGGCTTTTACCAGATAGAGGCGATGATAGACTAAGACTAAGAGGCTTTACCAGATAGAGGCGATGTTAGACTAAGACTAAGAGGCTTTACCAGATAGAGAGCTGGGATGTTAGACTAAGACTAAGAGGCTTTACCAGATAGAGGCGATGTTAGACTAAGACTAAGAGGCTTTACCAGATAGAGGCGATGTTAGACTAAGACTAAGAGGCTTTACCAGAGAGAGGCGATGTTAGACTAAGACTAAGAGGCTTTACCAGATAGAGGCGATGTTAGACTAAGACTAAGAGTTTACCAGATAGAGATGTTAGACTAAAGAGGCTTTCATCAGATAGAGAGGCGATGATAAATCCAAGACTAAGAGGCTTTACCAGATAGAGGCGATGATAGACTAAGACTAAGAGTCTTTACCAGATAGAGCCGATGTTAGACTCAAGAGTTTTACCAAGATGTTAGACTTTACCAGAGAGAGGCGATGTTAGACTAAGACTAAGAGTCTTTACCAGAGAGAGGCGGGGACTAAAACCAAGAGGCTTTACCAGAGAGAGGCGATGTTAGACTAAGACAAGAGGTTTTTACCAGAGAGAGGCGATGTTAGACTAAGACTAAGAGTCTTTACCAGATAGAGGCGATGATAGACTAAGACTAAGAGGCTTTACCAGAGAGAGGCGATGTTAGACTAAGACCAAGAGTCTTTACCAGATAGAGGCGATGATAATTAAATCAAGAGGCTTTACCAGAGAGAGGCGATGATAGACTAAGACTAAGAGGCTTTTACCAGATAGGCGATGATAGTCTAAGACTAAGAGGCTTTACCAGATAGAGGCAGACTAAGACTAAGAGGCTTTACCAGATAGCGATGATAGACTAAGACCAAGAGGCTTTACCTTCAGAGAGGCGATGATAGACTAAGACCAAGAGTCTACCAGATAGAGGCGATGTTAGACTAAGTTCAAGAGGCTTTACCAGATAGAGGCGATGATAGACTAAGACCAAGAGGCTTTACCAGATAGAGGCGATGATAGACTAAGACTAAGAGGTTTTACCAGATAGAGGCGATGATAGACTAAGACTGTAAGAGGCTTTACCAGATAGAGGCGATGTTAGACTAAGACTCAAGAGGCTTTACCAGATAGAGGCGTTAGACTAAGACTAAGAGGCTTTACCAGATAGAACCGATGTTAGACTAAGACTAAGAGTCTTTACCAGATAGAGGCGATGATAGACTAAGACTAAGAGGCTTTTAATAGAGAGGCGATGTTAGACTAAGACTAAGAGGCTTTTTACCAGAGAGAGGCGATGATGTTCAAGAGGCTTTAGAGGCGATGATCAGACTAAGACTAAGAGGCTTTTTACCAGATAGAGGCGATGATAGACTAAGACTAAGAGGCTCTTTACCAGATAGAGCGATGTTAGACTAAGACTAAGAGTCTTTACCAGATAGAGAGCGATGTTAGACTAAGACCAAGAGGCTTTACCAGATAGAGGCGATGATAGACTAAGACTAAGAGGCTTTTACCAGATAGAGGCGATGTTAGACTAAGACCAAGAGGCTTTACCAGGCTAGAGGCGATGATTTACCAAGATAGAGCCGATGTTAGACTAAGACTAAGAGTCTTTACCAGATAGAGGCGATGTTAGACTAAGACTAAGAGGCTTTACCAGATAGAGGCGATGTTAGACTAAGACTAAGAGGCTTTACCAGATAGAGGCGATGTTAGACTAAGACTAAGAGTCTTTACCAGATAGAGCCGATGTTAGACTAAGACTAAGAGGCTTTACCAGATAGAGGCGATGTTAGACTAAGACTAAGAGGCTTTACCAGATAGAGGCGATGTTAGACTAAGACTAAGAGGCTTTACCAGATAGAGGCGATAGTTAGACTGACCAAGAGGCTTTACCAGATAGAGGCGATGATAGACCAAGACCAAGAGGCTTTTACCAGATAGAGGCGATGTTAGACTAAGACTAAGAGGCTTTACCAGATAGAGGCGATGATAACCAAGACTAAGAGGCTTTACCAGATAGAGGCGATGTTTAAGACTAAGAGGCTTTACCAGATAGAGGCGATGATAGACTAAGACTAAGAGGCTTTACCAGATAGAGGCGATGTTAGGACTAAGACTAAGAGGCTTTACCAGATAGAGGCGATGTTAGACTAAGTTAAGAGGCTTTACCAGATAGAGGCCGATGTTAGACTAAGACTAAGAGGCTTTTACCAGATAGAGGCGATGTTAGACTAAGACCAAGAGTCTTTACCAGAGAGAGCGATGTTAGACTAAGTCTAAGAGGTTTTTACCAGATAGAGGCGATGATAGACTAAGACTAAGAGGCTTTACCAGATAGAGCCGATGTTAGACTAAGACCAAGAGGCTTTAAGACCAGATAGAGGCGATGATAGACTAAGAATAAGAGGCTTTACCAGATAGAGGCCGATGTTAGACTAAGACTAAGAGGCTTTACCAGATAGAGCCGATGTTAGACTAAGACCAAGAGGCTCACCAGATAGGGAGGCGATGATAGACTAAGACTAAGAGGCTTTACCAGATAGAGGCGATGATAGACTAAGACTAAGAGCTTTACCAGATAGAGGCGATGATAGACTAAGACTAAGAGGCTTTACCAGATAGAGGCGATGTTAGATCAAGATTAAAGAGTCTTTACCAGATAGAGGCGATGATGTTAGACCAAGAGGCTTTACCAGATAGAGGCGATAATAGACTAAGACTAAGAGGCTTTACCAGATAGAGGCGATGTTAGACTAAGACTAAGAGGCTTTACCAGATAGAGGCGATGTTAGACTAAGACCAAGAGGCTTTACCAGATAGAGCCGATGATGTTAGACTAAGACTAAGAGGCTTTACCAGATAGAGGCGATGATAGACTAAGACTAAAGACCAGAAGAGGATGATAGATCAAAAACCAAGAGGCTTTACCAGATAGAGGCGATGATAGACTAAGACCAAGAGGCTTTACCAGATAGAGGCGATGTTAGACTAAGACTTACCACAAGAGGATATTTTACCAGATAGAGGCGATGTTAGACTAAGACTAAGAGGCTTTACCAGATAGAGGCGATGATAGACTAAGACTAAGAGGCTTTACCAGATAGAGGCGATGTTAGACTAAGACTAAGAGGCTTTACCAGATAGAGGCGATGTTAGACTAAGACTAAGAGGCTTTACCAGATAGAGGCGATGTTAGACTAAGACTAAGAGGCTTTACCAGATAGAGGCGATGTTAGACTAAGACTAAGAGGCTTTACCAGATAGAGGCGATGATAGACTAAGACTAAGAGGCTTTACCAGATAGAGGCGATAAGTTAGGACTAAGACTAAGAGGTTTTACCAGATAGAGGCGATGTTAGACTAAGACTAAGAGGCTTTACCAGATAGAGAGGCGATGTTAGACAGAGGATGATAAGACTAAGAGAGCCTTTACCAGAGAGAGCCGATGTTAGACTAAGACCAAGAGGTCCTTTACCAGATAGAGGCGATGATAGACTAAGACCAAGAGGCTTTACCCAGATAGAGGCGATGATAGACTAAGACTAAGAGGCTTTACCAGATAGAGGCGATGATAGACTAAGACTAAGAGGCTTTACCAGATAGAGGCGATGTTAGACTAAGACTAAGAGTCTTTACCAGAGAGAGGCGATGTTAGACTAAGAAGAGGCTTTAACAGATAGAGGCAATGATGTTAGACTAAGACAAAGAGGCTTTTACCAGATAGAGGCGATGATAGACTAAGACAGAGGCGAAGAGACTAAGAGACTTTTTACCAGATAGAGGCGATGATAGTCTAAGACTAAGAGGCTTTACCAGATAGAGGCGACGTTAGACTAAGACTAAGAGGCTTTACCAGATAGAGGCGATGTTAGACTAAGACCAAGAGGCTTTACCAGATAGAGGCGATGTTAGACTAAGACTAAGAGGCCTTTACCAGATAGAGGCGATGATAGACTAAGACCAAGAGGCCTTTACCAGAGAGAGCCGATGTTAGACTAAGACTAAGAGGCTTTTACCAGAGAGAGTAAGGATGTTAGACTAAGACTAAGAGTCTTTACCAGATAGAGATGATTAGATAAGAGGCTTTACCAGAGAGACTAAGACCAAGAGGCTTTACCAGATAGAGGCGATGTTAGACTAAGACCAAGAGGTTTTTACCAGAGAGAGGCGATGTTAGACTAAGACCAAGAGGCTTTACCAGATAGAGGCGATGATAGACTAAGACAAAGAGGCTTTACCAGAGAGAGGCGATGATAGACTAAGACCAAGAGGCTTTTACCAGATAGAGGCGATGATAGACTAAGACTAAGAGGCTTTACCAGAGAGGCGATGATAGACTAAGACCAAGAGGCTTTACCAGATAGAGGCGATGATAGACTAAGACTAAGAGGCTTTACCAGAGAGAGGCGATGTTAGACTAAGACTAAGAGGTTTTTACCAGATAGAGGCGATGATAGACCTAAGACTAAGATGCTTACCAGAGAGAGGCGATGTTAGACTAAGACTAAGAGGCTTTACCAGATAGAGGCGATGATAGACTAAGACTAAGAGTATTTTACCAGAGAGACCAGATAGAAACCGATGTTAGACCATGACTAAGAGGCTTTACCAGATAGAGGCGATGATAGACTAAGACCAAAGAGGCTTTACCAGATAGAGGCGATGTTAGACTAAGACTAAGAGTCTTTAACAGATAGAGGCGATGTTAAGACCAAGAGAGTCTAAGACTAAGAGCTTTTTTACCAGATAGAGGCGATGTTAGACTAAGACTAAGAGGCTTTACCAGATAGAGCCGATGTTAGACTAAGACTAAGAGTCTTTACCAGATAGAGGCGATGTTAGACTAAGACTAAGAGGCTTTACCAGATAGAGCCGATGTTAGACTAAGACTGGAAAGAGGCTTTAACAGATAGAGGCGATGATAGACTAAGACCAAGAGGCCTTTACCAGATAGAGGCGATGTTAGACTAAGACAGAGTAAAGGATGTTAAGAGGCTTTACCAGATAGAGGCGATGATGTTAGACTAAGACCAAAGGCGATGTTTTACCAGATAGAGCCGATGTTAGACTAAGACCAAGAGGACCAGATAGAGGCGATTACCAGATAGAGCCGATGTTAGACTAAGACCAAGAGGCTTTACCAGATAGAGGCGATGTTAGACTAAGACCAAGAGGTTTTACCAGATAGAGCCGATGTTAGACTAAGACCAAGAGGCTTTAACAGATAGAGGCGATGTTAGACTAAGACTAAGAGTCTTTACCAGATAGAGGCGATGATAGTTAGACTAAGGTCAAGAGCTGATTTACCAGATAGAGGCGATAGAGGCGATAGACTAAGACTTTAAGGAGAGGCGATTTAGACTAAGACAAAGAGGCTTTACCAGATGTAAAGGGGATGATACTAAGACTAAGAGGCTTACCAGATAGAGGCGATGTTAGACTAAGACTAAGAGGCTTTACCAGATAGAGGTGATGTTAGACTAAGACTAAGAGGCTTTACCAGATAGACGATGTTAGACTAAGACCAAGAGGCTTTACCAGATAGAGGACGATGTTAGTCTAAGACTAAGAGGCTTTACCAGATAGAGGCGATGATAGACTAAGACCAAGAGGCTTTACCAGATAGAGGCGATGATAGACTAAGACCAAGAGGCTTTACCAGATAGAGCCGATGATAGACTAAGACTAAGAGTCTTTACTCAGATAGACCAGATAGTTAGACCAAGAGGCTTTACCAGATAGAGGCGATGATAGACTAAGACAAAGAGGACCAAGATGCCTTTACCAGATAGAGGCGATGTTGACCAAGACCAAGACTACCAGAAGAGGCTTTACCAAAGATAGATAGAGCGATGATAGACTAAGACTAAGAGGCTTTACCAGAGAGAGGCGATGTTAGACTAAGACTAAGAGGCTTTACCAGATAGAGGAAGGATGTTAGACTAAGACTAAGAGGCTTTACCAGATAGAGGCGATGTTAGACTAAGACTAAGAGGCTTTACCAGATAGAGGCGATGATAGTTAGACAATACCAAGAGGCTTTACCAGATAGAGGCGATGATAGACTCAAGACTAAGAGTCTTTACCAGACAGAGGCGATGATAGACTAAGACCAAGAGGTTTTACCAGATAGAGGCGATGATAGTCTAAGACTAAGAGGCTTTACCAGATAGAGGAAGGATGTGTTAGACTAAGACCAGAAGAGGCTTTACCAGATAGAGGCGATGTTAGACTAAGACCAAGAGGCTTTACCAGATAGAGGCGATGTTAGACTAAGACAAAGAGCCTTTACCAGAGAGAGGCGATGATAGACTAAGACCAAGAGGCTTTACCAGAGAGGCGATGATAGACTAAGACCAAGAGGCTTTACCAGAGAGGCGATGTTAGACTAAGACTAAGAGGCTTTACCAGATAGAGGCGATGATAGACTAAGACTAAGAGGCTTTACCAGAGAGGCGATGTTAGACTAAGACTAAGAGGCTTCACCAGATAGAGGCGATAGTAAGACCTAAGAGGCTTTACCAGAGATGTTAGACCAGATAGAGAGGCTTTGTTAGAAGACTAAGACCAAGAGGCTTTACCAGATAGAGCCGATGTTAGACTAAGACTAAGAGGCTTTTACCAGAGAGGAGAGCCAAGAAAGAGTCTTTACCAGAGAACGATGAAGACTAAGAGGCTTTACCAGATAGAAAGGATGTTAGACTAAAACCAAGAGGCTTTACCAGATAGAGCCGATGATAGACTAAGACCAAGAGGCTTTTTACCAGATATGTTAGACTATGACTAAGAGTCTTTACCAGATAGAGCGATATTAGACCAAGACCAAGAGGCTTTACCAGATAGAGCTGATGTTTAGACTAAGCCTAAGAGGCTTTACCAGATAGAGGCGATGATAGACTAAGACTAAGAGGCTTTCTACCAGATATAGAGGCGATGTTAGACTAAGACTAAGAGGTTTTACCAGATAGAGCCGATGTTAGACTAAGACTAAGAGGCTTTTACCAGATAGAAGATGTTAGACTAAGACTAAGAGGCTTTACCAGATAGAGGCGATGTTGACTAAGACCAAGAGGCTTTACCAGATAGAGGATGTTAGACTAAGACCAAGAGCTTTACCAGATAGAGGCGATGATAGTCTAAGACTAAGAGGCTTTACCAGATAGAGGCGATGTTAGACTAAGACTAAGAGTCTTTACCAGATAGAGCCGATGTTAGACTAAGACTAAGAGGCTTTACCAGAGAGAGGCGATGTTAGACTAAGACTAAGAGTCTTTACCAGAGAGAGGCGATGATAGACTAAGACTAAGAGGCTTTACCAGAGAGATGTTAGAGACTCAAGAGGCATTACCAGATAGATGTTAGACTAAGACCAAGAGTCTTTACCAGATAGAGGCGATGATAGACTAAGACTAAGAGGCTTTACCAGATAGAGGCGATGATAGTCCAAGACTAAGAAACTTTACCAGATAGAGGATGTTAGACTAAGACTAAGAGTCGATTTACCAGATAGAGCCGATGTTAGACTAAGACACCAAGAGGCTTTACCAGAGAGAGCGATGATAGACTAAGACTAAGAGGCTTTACCAGAGAGAGGCGATGATAGACTAAGACTAAGAGGCTTTACCAGAGAGAGCGATGTTAGACTAAGACTAAGAGGCTTTACCAGATAGAGGCGATGAGGTTTAGACTAAGACTAAGAGACCTAGAAGAGGCGATGATAGACTAAGACTAAGAGAGCTTTACCAGAGAGAGGCGATGTTAGTCTAAGACTAAGAGGCTTTACCAGATTTTACTAAGACAGATAGGAGGCGATGATAGTCTAAGACTAAGAGGCTTTTACCAGAGAGAGGCGATGTTAGACTAAGACCAAGAGGCTTTACCAGATAGAGGCGATGATAGTCTAAGACTAAAGGTTTTACCAGATAGAGGCGATGATGACTAAGACCAAGAGGCTTTACCAGATAGAGGCGATGATAGTCACAAGACCAAGCTTTTTTTACCAGATAGAGGCGATAGGGGACTAAGACTACCAGAAGAGTCTTTACCAGATAGAGCGATGATAGACTAAGAGGCTTTACCAGAGAGAGGCTTTACCAGAGAGAGGTTGATGACCTTTGAAGACTAAAGTGGCTTTACCAGAGAGAGCGATGTTAGACTAAGACCAAGAGTCTTTAACAGATAGAGGCGATGATAGACTAAGACTAAGAGGCTTTACCAGAGAGAGGCGATGTTAGACTAAGACTAAGAGGCTTTACCAGATAGAGGCGATGATAGACTAAGACTAAGAGGCTTTACCAGAGAGAGGCGATGTTAGACTAAGACTAAGAGGCTTTACCAGATAGAGGCGATGTTAGACTAAGACTAAGAGGCTTTACCAGATAGAGCCGATGTTAGACTATGACTAAGAGGCATTACCAGATAGAGCCGATGTTAGACTAAGACTAAGAGTCTTTACCAGATAGAGGCGATGTTAGACTAAGACTAAGAGGCTTTACCAGATAGAGCCGATGTTAGACTAAAACTAAGAGGCTTTACCAGATAGAGGCGATGATAGACTAAGACTAAGAGGCTTTACCAGATAGAGCCAATGTTAGACTAAGACTAAGAGTCTTTACCAGATAGAGGCGATATTAGACTAAGACTAAGAGGCTTTACCAGATAGAGCCGATGTTAGACTAAGCCTAAGAGGCTTTACCAGATAGAGGCGATGATAGACTAAGACTAAGAGGCTTTACCAGATAGAGGCGATGTTAGACTAAGACTAAGAGGCTTTACCAGATAGAGCCGATGTTAGACTAAGACTAAGAGGCTTTACCAGATAGAGGCGATGTTAGACTAAGACTAAGAGGCTTTACCAGAGGAGGCGATGTTAGACTAAGACTAAGAGCTTTTACCAGATAGAGGCGATGTTAGACTAAGACTAAGAGGCTTTACCAGATAGAGCCGATGTTAGACCAAGACTAAGAGGCTTTTACCAGATAGAGGCGATGTTAGACTAAGACTAAGAGTCTTTACCAGATAGAGGCGATGTTAGACTAAGAGGCTTACCAGATAGAGCCGATGTTAGACTAAGACTAAGAGGCTTTACCAGATAGAGCCGATGTTAGACTAAGACTAAGAGGCTTTACCAGATAGAGCCGATGTTAGACTAAGACTAAGAGGCTTTACCAGATAGAGCGATGTTGACTAAGACTAAGAGGCTTTTACCAGATAGAGCCGATGTTAGACTAAGACTAAGAGGCTTTACCAGATAGAGCCGATGATAGACTAAGACTAGAGCTTTTACCAGATAGAGGCGATGTTAGACTAAGACTAAGAGGCTTTACCAGATAGAGAACCGATGTTAGACTAAGACTAAGAGGCTTTACCAGATAGAGGCGATGATGACTTAGACTAAGACTAGAAGAGGCGATTTACCAGATAGAGCTTTACCGATGTTAGACTAAGACTAAGAGGCTTTACCAGATAGAGGCGATGTTAGACTAAGACTAAGAGGCTTTACCAGATAGAGGCGATGTTAGACTAAAGACTAAGAGGCTTTCAAAGATAGGGCGATGTTGACTAAGACTAAGAGGGCTTTACAGATAGAGGCGATGTTAGACTAAGACTAAGAGTCTTTTACCAGATAGAAACGATGTTAGACTAAGTCTAAGAGGCTTTGCAGATAGAGGCGATGATAGACTAAGACAAGAGGCTTTACCAGATAGAGCCGATGTTAGACTAAAGACCAAGAGGCTTTACCAGATAGAGGCGATGTTAGACTAAGTCTAAGAGGCTTTACCAGATAGGAGGCGATGAGGTCCTAAGACTAAGAGGCTTTTACCAGATAGAGCCGATGTTAGACTAAGACTAAGAGGCTTCACCAGATAGAGGCGATGATAGTCTAAGACTAAGAGGTTTTACCAGATAGAGCCGATGATAGACTAAGACCAAGAGGCTTTACCAGATAGAGGCGATGATAGACTAAGACTAAGAGGCTTACCAGATAGAGCCGATGTTAGACTAAGACTAAGAGTCTTTACCAGATAGAGGTGATGTTAGATGTCTTTACCAGATAGAGGCGATGAAGACTAAGAGTTTTTACCAGATAGAGGCGATGATAGACTAAGACTAAGAGTCTTTACCAGAGAGAGGCGATGTTAGACTAAGACTAAGAGGCTTTACCAGATAGAGAGGATGATAGACTAAGACTAAGAGGCTTTACCAGATAGAGGCGATGATAGACTAAGACTAAGTGGCTTTTCCAGATAGAGGCGATGATAGACTAAGAATAAGAGGCTTTACCATATAGAGGTGATGTTAGACTAAGACTAAGAGGCTTTACCGGATAGAGCCGATGTTAGACTAAGACTAAGAGTCTTTACCAGATAGAGGCGATGTTAGACTAAGACTAAGAGGCTTTACCAGATAGAGGCGATGATAGACTAAGACTAAGATGCTTTACCAGATAGAGGCGATGTTAGACTAAGACTAAGAGGCTTTACCAGATAGAGGCGATGTTAGACTAAGACTAAGAGGCTTTACCAGATAGAGGCGATGATAGACTAAGACTAAGTGGCTTTACCAGATAGAGGCGATGTTACACTAAGAGGCTTTACCAGAGAGATGCGATGTTAGACTAAGACTAAGAGTCTTTACCAGATAGAGGCGTTGTTAGACTAAGACTAAGAGTCTTTACCAGATAGAGGCGTTGTTAGACTAAGACTAAGTGGCTTTACCAGATAGAGGCGATGTTAAACTAAGAGGCTTTACCAGATAGAGGCGATGTTAGACTAAGACTAAGAGGCTTTACCAGTTAAAAATTGAGGTTATTAGACTAAGTCGCTTTACCAGAGAGAGGGTGGTCAGACTATTAGGCTTTACCAATTAGAAGTGAGGTTAGTATACTAAATTGACTTACCAGATAGAAATATCGTTATGATGATAAATGATTTACTAAACAGATGCGAATTAGTAGTCTATGTATTTCGAATGCAAAGCATTTTTCACACATTTCAGGTTTTTTTAATATAAACATCTTCAGTGAAGGCTGGTTTCTTTGAGATACAGTAAGGATAGTGGCCAATACCTGTCTTGTTCCATAAGACGCAAATTAAAACGCTGTGTGTTAATGAACTACTGATTGATAAATTTAACACCTTCACACCTAGCGTTGCCATTTGAAAATCATCCCAGCTCACTTTTGATAATTAAACATCCTATTTCCTAAAGCAGTCGAATTGGTGATGATTAATTTTATTGACAAAGTTAAAGTGTTAACTCATATAAATATATCAATTTTAAATACATTATCGCCAAATTTGTTTCAATATTTCCTTGTATACCCCTCGGGATTTCTTGTGTTTCTGGCTCAATTCAATTCTTTATCGCATTCGTTACACTTAGCTTCATAATTGAAACAACCGCATTATTGAAACTGGCGAATAACTAGCAACCGGTCTGAAACAGGGAGCTGACAAATGACGGCTTGGAACATGTTGTTACTTATGTGTTATCATCCTTTACCTTTTTTTTTTTTGTTTGTTTGTGTGTTTTTGCGATTCTAAATAATCTGAACAAAATAATCTAAGAGAGAGGACGTAAAGGTAATTCCTCTTGATTTTATTCCAGTGATCAATTTAACATGACATGATTAATACTTCCTCATGCTTTGTATCTTAAACCAGTACGAAGTCTCATCAAACATAACTATTACAAATGATAAATAAGAAAATATTTCATTCGTTGTTGTCAAATAACTGTATATGGTTGGACGTTGGGGTCGTTCATAGAAATCGCGAAATTACCTGTTTTTCTTCCATCTTTCATTTATTTGTAAAGAGTTGAACATGGTGCATTGTACCTTTTTATTAATTCACTAGGATTTTGCCGCAGACATTCTTCAATAAATCTCTTCATAACTGTTTTTTTTAACAGTGTGGTTTACCATTTATAAGGTTCGGTGGAGGCACTCGAAGTAGAGGGTTACATTTTTAAGTCATTTGTGTGTATAGAAATGGAAGATAACAATTAACCCTAGCCTTGAACAGGTTAAGATTGTTGTGATCGGGGAAGCTGTTTTAGTGGAACTTAATTCTCACCAGCCACCATAGTAAACCAGCCACATTTCCTCCCTATCCTATCAGGATAAGGAGGGAATGTGGCTGGTGTACTATTATGCGAGTGACATGGCATGTTTTTAATGTGAAATTTTGCCTTGGTGGAACCAGGGAATGTAGTTTGTCCGAACACTTTCCGTGGAAGTAGTGTTAGAGTAGCGAGGGGCTTGCAACATCCAGCCTGTGGGAGAGAGGCTGAACGGTGGGAAATAATTCATCATCCACAAGAACTCGATGATGCTTTTGAACGCTATCAAGGCTGGAGGGTTTAGGTCTGGGCAGCTCCCGCGCAAATATGACCACAGCTCTCCATTTTTGGCTTGACCTGGCTCTTGTAAAGTTAGCGGATAAAAGGAGGAGTCGGGTACTTACCTGGAGTGGTACAGGGAGCCGACCATTTTATCTACATCCTTAGCAATGGATCGTTTGTATAAGTTCCACTTGAGGTCAGGTGTGAGTTTGAAATTCAACAGTCTTTCAAGACACGGTGCCTCCTCGAGAGCTCGTTCGTTCATCCTGATTGGTGGTAGTTCGAGGTAAATTCAGCGAGGACGAAATATACCTCGCTACTTCATTATCAAACATGTTGTTTTTTAAAGACTGAAACTTATTAACATTATTGCTTAACCTAAGTCTACGAATGAAGTATTATACATACACTGAATTCTATTAATGCTTTTATGAAATTCAAACAACATACAAAGGTGAAGGCGAAACACATTATGCTTTACGTCTACAACTGGTTTAAATCTTCAAATAAATCATAAACGGTATATAAAGTGAAAGTATATTTTACACAAATTTTAGACACATTTTTTTTTAAATATGTATAAAATGGAATATAGAATAGCGAAAAAACTTCTATAGAAAGAAAGCAATATGCGTGTGTATTTGTTTATTATTTGTTTAAAAATAAACGTAATTCTTTCTTTCTTTTTTGGACCTGGCGAAACCTCGAAAGGCGAAACGGGTAATCACATTTAGTTGCAAAAAAGTGGTTTTCCATTTGTCATATTTCTTTAAAACACTTTAAAATATAATTATAGTTACATGTAAATGACTGCGTAATTAGCATAGATAGTGAATGGTTAGTGATTGTATAAGTGCCCAAACATGAGGGAGTATAATAGACGAGATTAACAAATATCGACGGACTGAGAAAATAATATATCTATAAGAGACCACGCGAGTATAATAGACGGGATTAACAAAAACCGAATAACAAATACCGACAGTGTTAATCTCGTCTATTATATATATATATATATATATATATATATATATATGTGTGTGTGTGTGTGTGTGTGTGTGTGTGTGTGTGTGTGTGTGGAGTAATGAGAGCCGAGTTCGAATTACATTCACTTACATGCTAATACCCCTGGGAATGATTTGAATCCTCTTCTTCTCCCTCCAGCTATGGGTAAATACAGGACAGACTGGATTCGATAGCCTTGAATTCAAATCCTGCGGAGGGTCGTTTGAGGACCTTGTGGCACTTAACATAATACTACTTCAACTGATCCTAAACATTTTAATCTCTTATATCGTAGACAGATATATACTAATTATAAACAAGATGAAAATATACTAAAAAAAATAGTAAATACTAATATATCTACAACAGATCCTAGCAAAAAAATGAGGTTAACCATATACTACACTAAATCTAGTATATCCAACTTAATTATTCGCAATGATTCTTCCTCTCCCCCTGTTAGCGATTTGCAAAACAACAACATAGTTTACAAATTCAAGTGCCCTTTAAGAGATTGTATCTCCAATGGATTAAATATTTATGTTGGTCGTACCACAAACTCACTTTCACGACGCTTGACTAGGCATTTAAAACAACATGCCTGGCCGCGCACACAATTCAAGAAAGTCCTCGTTGAAAACATAACTATAGTTAAACATGTAAACAAAAACTAAAAATTCTTGAAGCTTTATACATAAACAGTTGAAACCTAACCTGAACAAAATAAACTACAAAATCTCCACAAATATTCTTAAATGCCTATAATTGATAACAGAAACCATTAGTTTATACTAACGGCTTCCCATATTTAATACTCTCGCGTTGTCATGTGTGACGTCACGAACTGCGACGCGATTTTCGCTTCCGCGTCTCGTATACACGAGTTAGTCGTTGCATTGAAATTTTCATAAATAAAAACATTTATCATTATTGTTTCGTCCGAGTATTGGTTGATATATTGAAAAGTAATTGTCATCTTTGATAATAGCTTATGTAAGCCGAAAACTTAGATTGGATTTAAGCATATATGAATATCGTAATTTCCTTTCGTCTTTCAATGATAATATTATTTAGCTTATAAGAAAGGAACTTAGTTAAAATAAATCGACAAAACTTATCTATATTATTTAATAAAACATGCATTAATGAAAAATTACTGCCTAAATATACACAATATATATATATATATATATATATATATATATATATATATATATATATATATATATATATATATGTATTATAGTAAGGAAAGAAAGAACAGTAAGATATATAATCCGGTGTGCTTATTGATATTTTTATTTTTACGAAACAGTGCTTAACGTAAATTTACTGATCTAAAAATATTGTTCTATCCCTACACTGGAATTACCATGTTTCAAAAATAGAAACTAAAACTTCAAATTCAATTATATAATTAAATTAAATTCATTAGTTCTATTTCATCTTCACGCGAATTTTGGATATATATATATATATATATATATATATATATATATATATATATATATATGTATACCCAATGGCTTGAAAGATTATAGCATGGAAATTGTTCTTTGAAAGTGTGAGAGAGAAATAACGAGAGAGAAAGAGAGGGAACTAGAAAGAAAATGAACGAGAGAGAGGGAGAAAAAAAGTTGCTAAATTTTATTGACTGAACAACTCACTATATCCTAACTTGATGCATTTTAAGTTTTATTTTAGTGTATATTTGTATTCCAGTCAATTTGTCAAGTGAGTGAACTGCGCACATCAATTGGAGTTTTTCATTTGTTTTCTGACTGGACAAATATCTATATATAATAAAATAATTGGTTCCTGACTTGGCATCAGAAAAGGTTGCATTTGATTGGCTCTCTTTCGATCTTTTTTATTTATTTCTTTCGAAAAGTATTAGCTTTACTTTTCTTTTTTGTCAGGTTTTCATTTATGTATTTCTCATTAATGAATTTAATCAAGTCTGAAGATCTAGCTTCACGTCTTTTAAAAAAAATGTAATTAATTACGCTTGGCTAAGTGCTTTTAACATGATCATGTGTTTCGTTCCAGTTCAATGAAGGTCACTTTGTCTGTAAACAGTTACGGTCCAGTTGTCATCATTTCTTTCCTTTGTTCATTACGGCTTCGTTTTATATCTTATATTTCTGACTAGATTTCAATCGTGAACATCAATTGAGATTCGTCTCCTTAAGTAAGTCGTCTCTCTTATTGAAATATATAATTGCTGAAATTATTTTTTTTAACTTGGACCCATAATTTCATGCGCACAAATATGGCGAAATGATATATATATATATATATATATATATATATATATATATATATATATATATATATACTAAGGTTAATAATATCTGACTGAACATCAAATGAGTGAAGTAGAAGACATAGATTACGGGTTAATATCTTTATAGTCATAAACAATTCCTACCACCTTTCTTGTTCATGTTACACATTTCATTTCTCACAACCATTTTAACAGAAATCCTCTACATTGAGTTGCTCTAGAGCCTTGTATTTTGTGAACGTTACACCAAGAAATATATAGCAATCGTCTTTGGTTCAATACTTGTGTGAAAGTTTTTGATTAAATTTTGGCTTATTTCGAAATATTTTTCTTTTAATTTATGCAATAGATTTCAACTGATCGAATCTTTCCATTCATAAAAGTTTTAAACTATGAACAGAAGTGAGAGTGGAGTTTGATCGATTATTTTTTATTTAAAAAAAAAACTCTTTAATTTTCACTTACTTGGCAATATCCTCTTCCCCTTTAGTGACCTTAGACGCAATTGTTAGAGTCCAGGACCACAGTCTCATCAAACTAGGTGTCCCTGCTGAAGTTTCTGTAGCAAGTAGCTTTATACGGAGTGGAATTGGTAGTCAATCAAAGTTATTCTTCTACGAAATTTTTTGCCAAACAAGGCACGCAAATATGCGCAAAAAAAAGAAAAAGAAATCGTTCATACCACAAAAGAATTTGTGCAAAAATGAAAACAATTAACTCGACTGAAATTTGAAACCGACCTTCCGATTTTACTTTCTGTGTTGATAAACGCACATCCGTTGAGGAATATGATACCCTTTTTTTAAAAAAAGGAACAGATTGCAACCATAAAAAAA